CTTTCTATATGTGTACAAAAAAAGTAGTTTCATGGGAAAAACAGAAATGACATTGCACTTTCATAGGCAAAACAAAAAATAGCCTTGTAGTTTCATGGACGAACCAAAAATAACACTGTACTTTCTAAAGTTAAGAATTTATTTGTAAACTGAAACTACAATTATGAAATTGTACTTAAAAAGTACAATGCTTCAATTAGAATAATGTGAAACTAAGACATTGGTACTTGTTACTTTGACAAATACATAAGTTCATAAGTTGAACACACTATGCAAATAGCAAACAGATAGTAAAAGAAGTAATTATAAAGTATTGGTAACCGATCTAAAAGTAGCATAAATTAAATCATATACAAAAAGTATTATGTTGTTGTATTAAAACATATAAAAAATGTTTTTTAATGTTCTTCTAATTTTTCCTTATTAGACATTGTACTTTGAAAAATAACCCAAAACTTTGACTAATTTGAGATTCACAGTTTTTCGTTTAATTTTGAATATGTTTATGAAATATGTTTTTCGTTTAATAGCAGCCTAAATTAAAGAGATGTAAACTTATATGATTTTTCATTTAATAGCATCATAGTTCCTATTTATGTCATATTATATGTATGTTTGCTGTTAAATAAAAAGTACGTTGGTATAAATTGATTAATTTTGGAACTCACAGTGACATGCTATATAATTTTACATAAATGGCTACTGTAATTTAAAAGTTAAGATAATCAACTTTTTTTTTCTAATAAGACATAAATGCTAGCCTAGTTTTCATTTATAGCAACCTATTTTCATTTAATAACATCCTACTTTTGTTTAATGTGAAGTTATATCATCATTCCATTTATATCGTATAATAGCAACCTACTTTTCATTTAATAACACCCTACTTTTCATATAAATTAGAACTTCTATAGTAAAATGCCTTATTTAAAAAGTACATCAAACTACATAATGTGTAAAAAAGTATAATCGCATAATAATACATATTTTGCATTTATGTTGCTATATTTTACTTAAATTTAATTTCATAAATTGTATATACTACAATGCCTATATTAAGTCATATCACTTTTCATTTTTTTCATCTAATAGCGGCCTAATTTTCATTTAATAGCACACTACTTTTAATTTATCTTAATATAATAGAATACCTTTTTACTAGTCATATTCTATTTATATAAAAAAAAAAGTAGTTTCATAGGAAAAACAGAAATAAATTAGAATGAAAGGCTTAAACAATATTGAGATAATGAAACAAACTGCAGCAGGGGCTAAATCATCCTCAAAATGAAGCAAACAACTACACCATGGAATTAAAAATAAAAAATACCATATTTAGCTAAAAGTGCATTGTTGTTAATAGGAAAATAAATCAAATTATATTGGTTATTTGTCTATTTTTACCACTAAAACATTGGTTTTATATAACTGATCATTTTACCCTTATCAGATGCGAAACAGAAAGTGCATTACTGTTATTAGCAAAAAATCAAATTACATTGGAAAAAATGAAAATGGTAAAATGATCATTTACTTCATAAAAATTATTATTATTATAAAATATAACAATGTACGTTCAATCTATATTTGATAGTACATTGGTATAACAAATAAATTAGAATGAAAGAGTTAAACCATATTGAGATAATTAACAAAGTGCACCGGGAACTAAATCATCCTCTAAATAAGGCAAACACATGTCATGAATATTAAAAAATAAATTAGTGAGAGTGGTTATCTTTTAAATGAAGAAAATTGTAAAACTTACTCTGTAAAAGCATAAAGTTACAAAAATTACACTTTAATGCAGGAAATGACAAATATTACACTTTAAATGCTGAAAATTACATAAAGTAACGTTTTAATGCATAAAACTACAGATAAATCCCTTTGAATATGGAAATTACCCTTTTAATCCAGAAAATTAAAAAAGAATCCCTTTTTTTGTGGAAACTTACATAAATTACCCGTTTAATGCAAAAAAATCCCTTTAAGTGCATAAACTTAAAGATACAGACAATTTCCAATGCCAATCCACGACCTGTAAAAATGCAATGTGCTTACCTGTTTGTATCAATACACATGTACAAATACAACCAAGGTACATTATACTTACCTGTTTGTACCAACATGCATACATATTCTAACCTGTTGGTGAAATATGACGACGTAAATTTCGGAGGTTTAAAAATTATGACACCTTTTCATAAAAAAAATATATAACTATCGAAGCTTAATTGCTCCCTTTTTAGGACCAAAATGCATATGAATATTACATATGACAGTTTTATTAGGGTTGCATGCACATAAAAAGTTTTCGCTATAAGAACTATAAGTATTTACAAAAAAAAGAAGAATTGCTAAAGTTACCATGTTGGTGTGGCTGATTCACTAGAACTTTAATTTTTTATTTACTGACTGTTCAATGTAAGAATAACATTTAGTGAAATAATGAACACAAATATTTATTTTGTAAATTTTTAACACTTCAGAATTCCTTAATAATGAACTGAGTTTGAAACTTTATTTCTTTACCGTATTTTGCTCGATTGAACTAAACAACCCTTATTTCCATAATCTAAAAAAGGCACTGATTCGGTTCCTCATAATCAAAGAAATACTCATTCAATTATCTTTGTACAATAACTCCTAATAATAGGTGCAACATAGCTGATAGCTCTTGTCTTACCAAATGATCAGTTGATTATTTTTTAATACAGTTGTTTTTAAAAAATATGTTAACAAAAAAAATCAAACATTTACAGCTTTAATTATTTAAAAATGAGAAACTCAATAACCTAATAAAATGAGTTAGAAAAAATAAACCTAAAGTAATTAAAAGAAAGGATGGATCAGATTTATGGCTTGATTCTCTTTTATAAAGAGAGCTTTAATATCTGAGCTCATTACAATCAACTTATCAAATGGGCATTGAATCATCACTTCCAAGTTCCAATCTTAAGTTTCATAAAATTAACAACAAATATCTCTTTCAAAAAAACTTAACAACAAATAAAAAAACCAAATTTCTCAAAAACTAAACAAAATTTACACGACAAATAATAATAATAATAATAATAATAATAAAATGGATCAGATTTTGGTTTGGATTTTTCTCCAAAAAGAGAAAAATTAAAAATTGTGCTCGTGGAAATCAAAATGAAACATGTAATACATATTTATCACTTAAAGACGAGCATTAAGAATCATCGTTATGCTCGTCTAACAGTTAAATTGACATATAGTGCAATTTGGGAAAAAAAACAAAACGTAGACATAAAATTAATCACAACAAACATTCAGAATGAGTATCAGGTTTATGATTCCATTCATGAGTTAAATTGGAATAATTAAACAATCATCATCATCCTCGCATATACATATACTTCTAAATTAGAATGTGACAGAAAACCCATCAGAAAGAAAGGGATCACTACATCAGTTTATCACAGCCCTACAAAAAGACGTGATTTCAGACGACCGTCACAAGATTATATCTAAAATCGTCTTTTGGGATCAAAATTTCTAAATTGAAAAGACAAAACATAGATTAATAGGAAATAAGAGCCATCCAAAACAAAATAATTTTGTCACCTATTTCATAGAACACCTTACGTGCATATTCCAAATAACCGCAATTCATATACATATTGATTAGATGGTAGCTTACGTAAGGGTTGGGCAAGGAAGACATTTCAATTGTTCTTGTCAAACATGTAGCGATATATACCTTGGCTTTGAGAGAAGCAACCATGGCATCCACACATCTGGAGGAAGCCGACTTATGTTTATTGGATATGAGAGATGTTCTGAGCCTCTGAGAATTTATATCAGAGATTTAGGAGGAAGAAAAACACAGATCGACATCGATGAATTTATTAAAAATTTACCCTGGAATGGAATCAAAAGAAGGAGGTCGCTTGCTAAAATTATGGCTTATTCTCTTTCACTACAACATCAAAGAAACGATCGACAAAGGAAGATGGTGGAAGTGACTTTATAAGCTGCATCAAATTAAAAATCACAAAACATCATCTGCACGATAGAGATCACCCGTAAACCATTTAACCATAAGGTAGAATTGAAGGTTTCCATTTGATGCAAGATGTGTGTATTTTAAATTTGAATCGGTTACCAAAACCAAGAAATCGAAATTACACAACTGCGTGATTTTAGGGAATAAACAGATGATTCCAAATATTGTCAATTCGTTTGTTTTCATAACCCCGAAGATGTATATAACTATATATGCATATATGCCCATACTCTTTAGACTATTGGGTGTGAGCAACGGGGTTATGATGTCAAATATTGTCACCTCACATTTTCTCACATTTTAACATGTTATGAGGGTGGTGTTCTCATGTTATAACATGGTGTTAAGAGGAGAGAGAAATAGAGAAAAAGAGAAGGAAATAATCTGATTGGGTGTTGACACATTTCATAACGCCACATGTGCATCTAAGTGGATCCGCCAGTGATATCAAGCTTTTAAAAAAAAAAAAAATCTCAAACAGAGTACAAGATTTGGATATTATTGGGCTATCTCTTCTTCTCCTATTTCATTAAAATATTGAGCTTAAACATTTTTGGCTATTTTAAAAGAGTTTCTATTATATTTTGACTTTAAATATTTTTGATTTATCACATAGAGGAGCTATATTTTTTGCCGGGTAGAACTGAAGTATAAAAAAACTACGAAAAAAATTTAGGCTTTAGACTAATATTTAAGGTTACCCCGGACTACTATGGACATCTACGTGGATCCCACTGTGACTTATCAAAATTGAATCGCAATACAACAACATGGACCATACGAATGGTTCTAAAAATAGAAACTTTATTGCATGTAGCATTTTAAATTTTGTGGTCAAAAAAAATAGAAACTTTATTGCATGTAGCATTTTAAATTTTGTGGTCAAAGTCATTGGAAATTATCCTCCACTTCAGTCCTTTTAAAGTTCACTGATATGTGGCCGACATGCTTTAAGTAAAGTCATTACTAGTTTGTTCCATATCTTTCAAGTGTTCCATCATAGAATTATTGGAGGAAACATACCAGCTTCAGTTTAAGCCATTCTGAAGACATACTCTGTACTCTGCTTCTCCTTAATTGCACTCCTTTACGCATACATACCACACAAGTGCCATTGATAAGAAAACCCAGAGGATTATCATGGATATCTACGGCCGACCAGAGCATGATCCGGAATTCCAGGTACTTAAGGCGTCTTGCCCAAATATTACAACAGAGTACCTATATACCCTATGGAATCTAGTATACCAGTCACGTCAGCAAAACCAGTACAGCAAACCTATGCCGTGGATTGGGATTTATATAGCATTAGCATCTCTGCTTTGTGTCGTTGCAATGGTGGCTGATTTATTACATGGTTTGCGAAACAGAAAGCTCTGGTTTCCATGTAAATATTTCACTTTGAATGCTGCATCTCTAACTGTGATAGGTGTTGTAATAAAGCTACCCATGGATCTAACTACTCTAATGCCAGGTGATATGGACCAGGCTACAAAGCTTGGAAGCATGAGCTTTATGTGCACCATGATGGCAAATTTATTGCCTTCTTTAGCAACCTTGGACGACAAGGAGCTAGTCTCCAACATGATAGCTCTAGCTGTTATGGTAATCTCCTTGGTTGTCAATTTTTGCATTCAGTTAGACACGGGAATTATATTCTATATTTCTGAAGGTTCATTCTTTTCATATAAAACACCGTTCCTTTTTAAATTTATTTATGTAGCCGGTTGGGTGGTTCCGATACTCATGTTGCTGATAATATATGCATGTTCATCTTTATCAATTCTAAAGTCCAAACAGATTCTAGAATCCAAATACCAAACAGCTAATCAAACAGCTTTAGAGGATCAAGAGCTGAATGTCGGAAGATTAACTGTTGAGAAGCTATATCAGCATGTGAGAAAGTACTGGATCATGGCAGGAACCGGAAGCCCTCAATTTATGACAGTTTGCTCTATTACAACATCTGCTTCCGGGGTAATATGTGCTGCAAGCACTGGCTTCTTTATTTCAGTTATGATTCACAGATATCCACGTGTAGGACATCAAGAGGACTATAGGTCGGATTATAAGTGGTCAATGGTAGTGATTTTTGTGATACAATCTATCGGAGTGATACTGGGTACAATTGCCCCGCTTGCCAGATGTTTTTCTACATTAAGCTTTGACATGTCAATAAAATGGATTTGGAAGCATTTGAAGATCTCTATAGTAGAAGAGAGCTACCGGACTCAGAAGTTATATGATTGGAAACATAGTTGCATACCATTCCTATCCGGTGCTCGCAAATGCAAGATTGTCATTCAACATTTGAAAATCCAAAGTATCATTCTTTGTATAGGATTTCAGAAGATAGTCGCTATAGCATGCAAGATGATAACCATGATTACAATTCTCATTTTGATATGTGTCTTGTGTTGTCGTGCTTGTTGGAAATGGTTAAAGGCCATGTTTAGCACATCATGCCATACATTGGGAGAACAGCCTAAGGAGCAACTAGGAAAAGATGAAGATCTTAGGGGGTATGTTTTGCAAATTCAAGACGACATACAGTTTACTGAGAGGACATTGAAACGCTTGTTAAAATCTGTGAATCGCTTGATCCGAAAGGCAGAAAAACAACAACCCAAGAATCTTATGAAGCTTCTATCAGAATCTCGAGGTTTTGAAGGACTTGCGAAGTTTGACAGCAATCATGTTCCTTCTTTACTTTCACAAGAATATGTCAGTTGTTGGTCTTTGCCTTTGGTAACTCTAACATCCATCGCCATGTCTCTACCTAACATCGAAAAGAACATGGTTGATTGCTTGCTAAATGGTGTGAGTGAGGGTCTTTTATATGTCACGCTTGTGGAAGAAAGCCTCAATGCTACTGATCATGATCATGTAAGCATTCAAAAGGCAGCTGAAACTTTGTGGGTAGATGTTGAAGTGTACCACAAATGGTTAGGAACTAAGCTGCCAAACCCTAAGTCTAAAGTGAATACACCGGGAGATATTCTTAAATGGTTAAGGGATAAGGCTAAGAAGAAGGTCAACAAGGTGGAAAGTATGGATATCAGAAGCCGAAGTTATGGTTCTAAATACATGTCTATTTGTGCCAATTCAATGTATCGTATCACTGAGACAATCTTGCTCAACTATCACGACAACATTGAGCAGGTTAGCCAAGAGGAACTATTTGCACATGTATCATCAATGATCGCTGATATAATAGCTGCTTGTCTCACCAATTTACCCCAAGTCATTCTAATGAAATGCCATGAAAGTGTCATAGAGAAAAGGGAGGCGAGTGTCCAAGCTGCAGCTCAACTTCTCGGTGAGACTACACAGATAATCATCACTCTTCAAGATCGTGAACTTCCAAGATTGAATCCAGACGAGTTGGCGTTTATCGACAAGTGGTCAGGTGCTTACTTAGAGAATTCGTTTCTTTGACAACCATTTCGGTCTGCAAGTAACCAGGCAAGTTCATATTTCAATTCCTTAAAGAATGTAGAAGATTGTGTCATTGTTTATTTGCTTTCCTATGTTTGTTAATTTTTGAGACTTTGCTCGTCAAAGGTCATCGTGCATGGGGCTTCATTGGAACCCTTGCGCAAACATTATATACTGTTGTTTTAATCTATATTTGTGGTGAAGTTATCCTTTACGTTTCATATATCTAGATTAGTCGATGGCAGTTTTTCTACCAGTTTCATTACTTATTCAATTAATTTTAACATCTAACTAGAAGACATCAACAATGGTTAATCTTTTTGCCAGTAGTTTTCTTTAAATCCTCATGCATCTAAAATGTTCTATTTAATTAAGCCCTTCTTTTTAAACATGCATACATCTAAAATGTCATAAACAAACGAAAGTATCAATACAAATATGTCCGCTCTTTATTTTATATACATAATATACAAAAAAAAAAAAAATATTATGCCATAATTACAAAAAAAGTGATTGAAAATATTATATAACCATTATAAAGTTTATATTTAAAAAAAAACACATGACGTTTTAATTATGATATAATTGCACGTCTATGCATGGGCAGTGCTACATATATAACAACACCGGCCGAATTTTCGCAACAATTTAGTTGGGGAGCGTTCAATCGAAAACATTTTTTATCGCGAGAACATTTGAGAACAAATTTGGACCACACAATTTTTAATTAAAATTATAAAATAATATTGATATAAATCAAAAAATAGGTACAAACAATTAAAAAACCCGCTAACTAACACCACTCACCACCCACCACCACTACCTACCACCCATCACCACCACCCGCCACCACCACCCATCACTAACCACCACCACCAACCACCAACCACCACCCACCACCCACCACCCCTCACTACCTACCACCCACCACCCACCACCCACCAACCGCCACCACCACCACCCACCACCACCCCCACCATCTGCCACCACCACCACCTACCACCCACCCACCACCACCACCCACCCACCACCCACCACCACCACCACCCGCCACTACCATCACCACCCACCATTACCACCCAACCACCACCACCCACCTCCACCACCCATCACCACCCACTACCACCCAACACCCATCACTACCCACCACCCATCATTACCCACCACCCACCACCACCCGCCACCACCCACCACCCACCTACTCACCATAACCACCACACACCATCACAACCACCAACACCACCATTACCACCCAAGCACCACCACCCACCTCCACCACCCATCATCATCACCTAACCAACACCACCTACCACCACTACTTACCACCAATCACAACCACTCTCCACCACCACCCACCATCACCACCCATCACTACCCACCACCACCAACCAACACCCACCACGTATCACTACCCACCACCCATCACCATCCACCACCACCACCACCCACCCACCACAGCCACCACCCATCACCCACCACCACCACCACCCACACCCACCCACCAAAACCACCACCCATCACTACCACCACCACCACCCACAACCACGCCACCTCCACCACCCATCATCACCACCCGCCGCCGCAAGCCCCGCCCCCACCTATAAAAACCACCACTCGTCACAACCAACCACCATTATCCACCAATCACTACCACCCGTCACCACCACCTACCATCACCACCCACTTACACCACCTGTTACCACCACCCGCCACAACCACCCCCACCCACCACCACCACCCCAACCACCCACTTACACCACCCGCCACCACCACCTACCCACCACAACCACCACCCGCCACCACCAATCACCACCAACCACCACCCGCCACCACCATCACCACCCACCATCACCACCCAACCACCACCACCCGCCACCACCACCCACCTCCACCACCCAACACCCATCACTACCCACCACCCATCATTACCCACCACCCACCACCATCCTCCTCCACTACCCATCATGATCACCAAACCAACACCACCTACCACCACTACTTACCACCCATCACTACCCACCACCACCAACCACCACCCACCACCTATCACTACCCAACACCCATCACTACCCACCACCCACCACCTCCACAACCACCCACTTACACCACCCGCCACAACCACCCCCACCCACCACTCACCACGACCACCACCACCCATCAACACCACCCGAAAACCAACACCAACACCCCCACCCATCAACACCACCAGAAACCAACACCAACACCCCCACCCACCACCACCACATGTGATTATATCTATGCATATGATTTACATGGATACGATTCGTTTTTGTCTAAATAAATCATATGTGATTAGATACCTTTTATCACATATGATTAAATACACGAGAATAAAAAAAATGTATATTATCCACATAAATCACATGTGATTAGACATATATAATCACATCTGATTATATGTTTTAATCACATATGATTTATGTGAACAACATGCATTTTCGCGCTGTTGATTCGTTAGTTGTTATCTTATATTTAATCACATATGATTATATGTATGATGTATCTAATCACATATGATTTATATTGACAAGATTCATTTTCACATTTTCTCTTCAACAAAATTTTTATGTTTTTAATCACATGTGATTTATGTGGACAATATTTATTTATGCATCGATTCAATAATTTTCTCATGTATTTAATCATACATGATTAATGTGGACAAGATTCGTTTTTGTTTATATAAATCATATGTGATTAAATACATATAATCACATGTGATTATACACAAAAAAACTATTGAATCGAGAAAGCGAGAATAAATTTTGTCCACATAAATCTTTTGTAATTAGATACGTATAATCACATGTGATTATATGTATTTAGTCATAAATGATTTATGTGGACAATATTCATTTTTCGTTTTCCATTCAATAATTGGTCTAGTGTATTTAATCACATGTGATTATATGTATTTAATCACATATGATTTATATGGACAAGATTTGTTTTCATGTTCTTGATTTAGTAGTTGTTCTCGTGTATTTAATCACAAGTGATTAAATGTATTTAATCAAATACGAATAAAATGGACAAAAAACCATTATTGAATTGAGAACGTGAAAATGAATATTGTCCACATAAATCATATGTGACTAAATACATATAATCACATGTGATTATATGTACCCAATCACATATTATTTATATGGACAAATTTCATTATTTCTTTCTCAATTCAATACTCATGTACTTAATCATATGTGATTATATGTATCAAATCACATATGATTTATATTGATTGTATTCGTTTTCACATTTTTTATTCAATATTTTTTCTCATTTATTTAATCATATGTGATTGTATGTATTTAATTACATATGATTAATGTAGAAAAACAAAAACCATTGAATCGGAAATGCGAAAATGAATATTGTGTACATAAATTATATGTGACTAAATGTACAAGAACAACTATTGAACGAGAATATGAACACGAATATTCTCCATATAAATCATATATGATTAGATACATATAATCTCATGTAATTAAATACACAAGAACAACAACTGAATCGAGAACGCGAAAATAAATATTTTCCACATAAATTCTATGTGATTAGATATATGTAATCACATGTGATTATATGCATTTAATCACATATGATATATGTGGACAATATTTATCTTTGTGTTTTCGATTCAATAGTTGTTCTCGTGTATATAATCTTATGTGATTATATATATCTAATCACATATGATTTATATAGACATCATTATTTTTTGTCCATATACATCATATAATCACATGTGATTTTATGTATTTAATCAAATATGATTTATGTAGACAATATTTATTTTTGCGGTTTCGATTGAATAATTGTTTTTGTGTATTTAATCATATTTGATTATATGTATATAATCACATATTATTTGAGGTGGACAAGATTCATTTTTGCCTTCTCGGATCAATAGTTGTGCTCATGTACTTAATCGTATGCGATTAAACATATAATCACATGTGATAAAATACATGAGAACAACTATTGAATCGACAAACCGAAAATGAATTGTGTCCACATAAATCATATGTGATTAGATTCATATAATCACATGTGATTAGATGTATTTAATCGCATATGATTATTTTGGATAATGATTTGTTTTTGTGTTCTTGGTTCAATATTTTTTATCATGTATATAATTACATGTGATTGTATGTATCTAATCACATATGATTTATATAGACAAGATTCATTTTTTCCAAATAAAATCATATGTGATTAGAAACATATAATCACATCTGATTAAATGTAATTAATCACATATGATTAAAGTGGAAAAAAGACAATTATTGAATCAAGAATGCGAAAATGAATCTTAGCCACATAAATCATATGTGATTAGATACACATAATCACATGTTATTATATGTATCTAATCGCATATGATTTATGTGGACAATATTCATTTTTGTATTCTCGATTCAATAGTTGTTCTCGTGTATTTAATCACATGTGGTTATACGTATCTAATCACATATGATTTATGTGAATAAGATTGAAATTCGCGTTCTCAATTCAATAGTTGTTATCATGTATTTAATCATATGTCATTTTATATATTTAATTACATATGATTAATATGGACAAAGAACAACTATTGAATCGAAAACACAAAAATGAATCTTGTGCATATAAGTCATATGTGATTAAATCATATAATCGCATGTGATTTCATACACGAGAACAATTAACGAATCGAGAACGCTGAAATGAATCTTGTATGCATTTCACACTAAAAAACAAACTACATTTTGCATTTCCTTGTTCACTCTACCGGATTAGGGTAAACGTAAACAATATCATAAAACAATTGCCTACATAATAGGAGAGTTAGTGTAACTCGCCTCCTTGAACTTGAAAATCAGCTAGCATGAGCAAGATGGATCCTTTCCTTTCTGAGAACCTACACAACAATCATAACATTATTTAGTTTGTGCTTCGTTGTATTACTCTTATAAAACTTATGTATATATTTTCTTATTTTCTCTTTGATTATAGTGCTCTTTTGGGATCTGTTTTCTTACCTTTCAACCCATTCTTAAATTTCGATAAAATAATATTGGTAAATTTTCCCTCTTTTATCTTTTCAGAATTATAAAGATCTCGTTCTAATGATTTTTGGTTGATTTTATATTAAATTTACAATTTAGTAACTTTAAGCTGTCACATTCTGGACCACTCAACACTATTGTAATAAACTGTACCAATCTACTAAGAATTACATCAAACCCTTTATATGTAGGAAACTGCACATCCATAGCTAACTATAGGATTTGGAATTTTGGCATTTGGAGTTCTGATGAATTTATTATGATTTTTTCAAGACAATGCATGAAATCTGTGACAGCATGGACCAAACTGAGAAAATTGCCAATTTTACCCCTCAAAGATATGGAATTTCGAAATGTGATTCAAAGTTTGAAGAAACTAGACACAATAATATTTCCAGAAAAATAAGTCTCATGATTTTTAAGTGTTCCTACTGACTTGCACGAATTTTAGAAGTTGGAGGACAGATTTGGGAAAATTGATCATAATAGCTTTTAAATCACTTTTGGTGTTCTATTAAGTACTTAATGGTTAAGCCTTAAGTTTATCACTTTTAACATGATTGTTGGTTACTCATTAGGATATTGAGATGTGAAATTCAATTTAACCTAAGGACCTTAATATTTGGCTTAATGAGGGTTCAAAGTTAAAGATTTTCACATAAAATGCCACTTTTAGACTTATTAGGTTCTTTCAGACAATATGACAAACACCTTGTGTGCATGAAATCTTATAGTGATTATTAACTCTCTAATAGACTCCAGTCCAAACCCCGGAGCTTACAATTTTCATTTATCATTGACACGAACAATTAACATAAAGAAGAAACGATTCATTATTATAAATGGAACGATGTCAGATTTCACAATATCATGAATCTGGCTCATAATTCGATCAGATCCATTGTTTTCCTGATCAGAGTACAAATCAAACTAGAATGTGCTAATGAGAGAGAGAGAGAGAGTAGTGATAGTACCTTCGGAAGATCAGATTGTTTATCATAACACCACTTTCTTTTCAGCTCCCAAAATCGAAATCACGCAGTCAGATCTCCCCAATTTTACCTCTGGCGCGACAAAATTTCATTCCGGTGGACATTTCTCCAGATTCTTGATCTGTATCGTGGAGACCGCGAACCAGATCTGGTGCCTTCAACTTCAAATCCAGATCTGAAGAAACTAGGTATGATAGGTGGTTCAGATGAGACGAGGATGTGAAGCAGATTCCTAGAGAGCGGAGAAACGACGCTTTCAGTAGTGGTCCGACAGTTAGATGGCCGGGGGCGGAGATATGGCAGTTCCGGCGGCTGTCCGGTGCTCTTAATGGTGGTCTGGCGAAATTAAAAAGACGTACTAACGTATATTGGTGGGGGTGGTGTTGGGGTAGTTAGTTTTTATTTGTTTATAGTAAGATTTAAAATAATGGGTTAAAATTGTTCTCAAATGTTCTCACGGAGAAAATGTTCTCATTGGAACATAACTCTTTAGTTGTTGTTAATTTGAAATTATTTTAAACATGCATACATCTAAAATGTCATAAGCAAACGAAAGTATCAATAAATATATCACCTATTTATTTTATATACATAATATATATATATATATATATATATATATATATATATATATTATGCCATAATTAAAAAAAAGTGATTGAAAATATTATATAACCATTATAAAGTTTATATTTCAAAAAAACACATGACGTTTTAATTATGATATAATTGCACGTCTATGCATGGGCAGTGCTACATATGTAAGAACACCGGCTGAATTTTCGCAACTATTTATTTGTTGTTAATTTTGAAATTATAATTCTTACTTTATAACTTAAGTTATAAAAGATATATTTATTTTAGTTATACGATAAAATAAATACATATTTAAATCGCATCATCCGAATAACCTCTCTAAACTTTAAATGTACATGACAATTAAAAAAATGTGATTTATTGTTATTAATTATTAATATGATTAATCGATTTACATAAACATATTTTATGATCAAATTTTCTCAATAATTAAGTAATTAAAAATACTGGCTAGAAAATTTTCCATTATTGTAAATATATAGTTTTTGGTTTTTTTTTTTTTTGTTAATTTGAAATTTTAATTAGGTCTTACGTTTAACTATGATTAATCAGCTTGCATAGACATCCTTTAATTTAATTTTAAAAAGTATTTATTCGACCTTTTTTTATATTTCTTTTTCAAATATCAGTTATTG